CTCTTCAGTCATTATTCACCTTATTTTCAATCAAGGTCTCTCTCTCTCTCTCTAGCCCAAAGCTTACTTACTGTCTGTAGCTGGCTGGCCATAAGCCCCAGGGATCTGTTTTCTCTGCCTCCTAGGCACTGTGATCACGAGCCTGTCAGCATTCACCGCCTTTGAAAATATGGGTACTGGAAATTAAATTCTGATTTTCCTGCTTGTAAGGCAACACTTTACAGACTGAGCCATCTCTCCAGTCCCAACTCTCTGGCCTCTGCCTCCCATTGACCTTGGCCAGCTGGTCAAGGTCATAGAGGGCTAGGTGCCTGTTTGTAGCTTCTGGGACTGCCCAGATGACCTGCCTCTTTGCTCGCCTATCCAGCCTCTGCTCCAACTCATGCATGACCTTCTCCGAAGTGTCCAAGCTATCCTGTCCTTTTAAAGAAGAGCTCTCCTGCTCTTTAGTGAGAGAACTCCTCTGACCATCAGGCCTCCAGCAGGCTGTCCATCTGCCTGGGCTGTTTGCTCCCTCTTCCCTGAGCTCACTGAAGTTATTCTTTATTTCTTTATCACTTTCCAGATTCAGGCTTCTCTGCCAAATAGTCTCCAGGAACCTGTACCTCTCATGGTTATAACCAGGTACCTGTGTAGTAAAGCCTGTCTCTCCATCAGCCAGACAGTTTCATGAGAATGGAGACAACATCTACAGTGTCTGTCATGGCATCTAGCATACAACAGCTCCCAGAAAAACCTTTTCTGGAAAGCTCTTAAAAAGTGTAGAGTGATGGGCACATGTTTGTCATTCCAGAATTGGGAGGTGGAGAGGATCAAATCATCCTCTGAAACAAAGAGCAGCATCTGGCACAAGAAACACATGGTAGGGATGGGCATGCAGGTCTTCTACAGGCGCATGGGTGCTTTGGACAAAGACTATCTGAACTTCAAAGCCATCTGTGAAAAAAACACATGAAAATATTTGCTGTAATATTGAAGACCGTAGATTACTCAGAGATTAGGGGACACTGCTCGCTCTTTGGATGTGCTTCTGAAGCCATGTTTGCTGTTTAATGAGTGCTGATGTTGGCTGCAATGGTGCTGGCCCACAGTGGGTTTGCAGTAATATTTGTGGAAGGATAATTTTATTTTAAAAAGAGAAGACATACTCTTGCAGAGTCACCGTCTTTCTGTCTAGCAAGTAGAGGACTGCTAGATGCTTCCATGGAAAGTGGCTTTAGCACATATGGGTCCAGTATGATTCTATTACATACCAGCTTCGTGGCCATGTTGTGTCACCTCACTTCTCGGAAGTGCCATTTCCCTCCCTTGCCAATGGAGATAATTACTAGCACCTGCTTCAGTTCCTATTAATGTCCCACCAAGGAGACCGATGGTACATTTCAACACAGCGGAGGCAGGGATGTGGAGATGGCTCAGTGAGTAGTGCTCACTGAGCAGGCATGAGGACCTGAGTTCAGATGCATAGAACCCACATAAAAGTCCAGCACTGTGCTGTGCATCTCTAATTCTAACACCAGGGAAATGGAGACAGGCAAATACTAGAGACTTTCTGGGTGGCTGGTCCAGACAAACAGGGAGCTTCAGGTTCAGTGGGAGACCTTGTCTCAAAAAACAAAACAGGGTAACAAATGCTAGAGGTAGACATCCAACATTGCCCTCCAGCCTCCATGTGTGCACACATACAGACAGAGACAAAAAGAGAGAAGGGGAGGGTGGGAGGAGGGAGGGAGGGAGAACAGATGTGTACCTTGAAGTCTCTTCTAAGAGCTGTGGACAGCATCACAGGGACCAACAAGGAAGATACACAGCTCCCAGGAGCAGCAGTTTGCAGGAGGCTTGGTGCATCCTGAAGCCAAAGGGAGCCCTTAACAGGGAGAGCCATGGATGCAGGTGGAGATGCTTAGCTGCTTCCAAATGATGGTTTTTTTTTAGGGAAAGAGCCTGAAAGCTCAGCAATTTGATTCAGAAGTATATTAGAGATTATCAATATCTCTTCCCTATTCTATGATTATCAATAGTTCTTCCCTAGTCTATGCTCAATGATATTAGTAGGTTGAAACCCACCAGCAGAAGCCCTCACATTGCAGAAATGAGCAAAAAGTCAGGCTGGTATCCTCCCAGAGAGCTGAGTGCCAGCTATCACAGGAGCACACCCCTCCTGCACCTAATGCCTCCTGCCTTCCCAGTTCTCATCAAAGCTTCAGTTCCAGATGAAATTAAGCCTGAGACAAACACTAGGGGAATAGATTATGCAGTTTTTACACATCAAACCCCTGGGTGCACAGCAGGGTGGGGTAGGAAATGAATCGGTAGTGGGCTAGCACACATAAGTGGAAAATAACCAGCACAGCTCTTAGGGATGGTGTGGAAGTCATTTAAGAAAGAGCAAACATGGAAGCACTTAGCAAACATTGACGCATGTTCATTGTGTCCATTCTTCATTTTCCAGTGTGCTTTTGAGTTATCAACATTTCCTGGGCTCCTGTGACTACAGTGACCACAGGAAGAGAATGGCAAACTTCTTCCTTTACTGCCACACCTGTACTATAAAGAATGAGTGTGCCAGGCTATGGTGGCACATACCTTAAATCCCTACACTCAGAGGCAGAGATAGTCAGATCTCTGTGAGTTCAAGGCCAGCCTGGTCTATAAAGTGAGTTCCAGGACAGCCAAGGCTACACACAGAGAAACCCTGTCTCCAAAACAAACAAACAAACACCCCCCAAAACAAACAAAAAGCCAAACAATGAATGAATGAATGAATGACTAAAAAATAAATACAAACAAAGAATGAGAGCGCCCTTCTCTCAGCTAGAATCCAGGGCACCTGGAAATTCAAGATCAGGGTGGCATAGCTGAATGACCTTGGATCTTGATTCTGTCTCCTCTATTCTGAGGACTTTGAACTAAACAATGTCACCACATCACCACACCTGACAGTCCCCTGTGCAAAAAAAGTATGGCCCCATATTTCAGCTCTGGGCCATGACAGAAAGTGTTATAATGGTGACTTCCAGGGATGTTTCTTAGACCACTGAGATCATGTCAGGTGTGGGCTAGGACTGGTCCAGTGTAACACATGGACACTCCAGTTGCCTATTCTCATCCTTCATTGTGATGCTAGAGTCAGATGCCATATACAGGGACCAGGAGATGACAGCTGCCTCCTGTGTCTGGTCCCCTGGTGATAGGCAAGAGGGAGCCCCAGTATCCCAGGACCCAACTTCAGCACAGTTGCCATGACAATCCAGTACTCAGCTTTGAAAGTGAAAATCAATGTCTTATGTTTAGAACCTGGTCATTTGGGGGTCTCATGTCCCAGAATTTATCTAACTCCACATACCAAGTCTTGGCCAGGCTGCTGAGCAGAGGTGAGGTGGACATCACGCTGTGCTCTGCAGTGTGGATAGCATTGGGGGCATTGAGAAACATTGTCTACTACCCTGGCTTGTTGGTGGGCAGCAGTATCCATGGAAGGAGTTGTGACACCATAGTAGTACTGCTCCATCTGGGGCTGGCATGGTGCACAGCATAGCCACCTCCCAATCTCCCTTTTCTCCTTAGCCTGTGGCTTTTGTGTCTCAGCTGCATCAGGGCTGTGGTACCCTGTGCATCACACCCAGGAACCCATGTTGAGAGACCTTCAGCACTGGCAGAGAGTAAGGTCTCTTGTCACTGCCATAGCAACTCTTAGAACCAGAGATGCAATGGTTTGAGAAGGTGGGAGATGAAGACACAATGTCTTAATGCAAAGGATAGTTGGTCTGTTGGGAATGGCTCTCTTCCTCCCCACCCAGCTGTAGAACTCCTGTGCTCTCAAGGTTGATCAAACAAGGTTGTTCTCATAACTTTCCGGTGTGCAGTGCCCGAGCCTTGACCCCAGGTGTGGGTGGTGCATGGCTTCCTCCTATGCTTAGCCCATCCCCTGGCTTGGGTATATAAGCCCATTACTCTCTGTAATAAAAGGTAGCAGCTTCCTCTTCACTTCTTGTGGTGGTCTGTTAAGTGTTTCAATCCTGACACCCTCCACCAAGATCAGTACTCAGGCCATGCAGGCGCGGCATTGGTCATCCTGCTGTGGATATCCACTCACATCATCATGTGGAACAGCCAAGAGAATTGGCTGGGTGTCATCCAACAAAGACGAAGCCCATCACCAAGAGGGAGACAGGCACGCCTATGTCCTGGACCAGGGACAGAGGCCAGATTTAAGGAGCAGCCTTCGCAGTCTAAGGGTGGCAGGCAGCCCTAGGCAGTGCTCATGATATCTAGAGGGGGCTTGTGACCTTGCTTTGCTTTCTGGTGCCCAGTCATTGATGATGTGAACCTTATGGAAGATAAAGTAAAAACACAGAAAAGAGTTTATTTTAGAATAGTGTCTGACACATAGTTATGTACAAATGTTATATCCGTATGGCTTCTGTGTGTGCCAGGAAGGTGAGTGAGCCTAGGAGTGTGTGTGCTGTGACTAGGTCTGAGCTGGGAAACAGAGAACACCATGGAAGGAGACAGTGGCTGCTTTGGTTCTGATACAGAGCCTTGTTCATGAGAACAAGGTTAACTCCAGCCCAGGACTCAGTTTTCAAAAAACTAAGGGACTGAAACAGATGGTTGCTCTGAGGACATTAAAGCAATTACTGTTCCAGTAAGGTGCAAAATGTTTACTACCATGTTCCCTGCAGCTTCTCATCCTCACCTCTCTAGCTGGTTCTTGGAATTCTTCAGCTGGGATCTGCTAGTTGGAACTCTGTACACACTTAGGGAACCTGATGCAAGGAACAAGTGGCAAGAACTGTCCCTCAGGGCTTAGAAGGCTCTGCCCATTGTGACATGAGTTCCCATTCCATGACAGTAGTGAGCATTCTCCACCTCCCTGACTGGGCAGCAACTGCAAAGATCAGGAGCAGGGGGTGGGAGGGCTTTTCAGATATGTCAAGCTTGTGAGGACATGGAGAGGTGAGGAAGCCAAAATCAGTACATTCAGCTCTTTGGAGAGGATGGCCAAAGGGAAGCGGTTCAACCCGCCTTTGGACAAGGTTGGAACATGGGTAAGAAAGATGGTATTCCTGGAAGCTTCCCCGTGCAATGTGGCTGTAATTGAGGCCACGGAACTGAGTTGGATTCCCTTCTGCTACCTATGATAGCAGGACATTTGAAGAGTCCCTCCCTTGGCCTTGGTTTCTTTCTGGTCCAATGGGAAACTCAGCATGCTTTGAGGACTGAATGAATGCACATGTATCTGGGGGAGGCAACCCACACCTGTAATCCTAGTAATTGGGAGGCTGAGGCAGGAGGATTGAGAGCTTCTAAGACGTCCCAGGCTGCTTAATAAGACACAATCTCAGAAAATAAAACTGAAAAAGAAATAGGAAGGACACACAGAGAGAAGGGAGGCATGGGGGATACAGAAGGGGGAAAAGGGGAAATGAAGAAAGAAGGAAGGGGAAAGAAGAATGGAAAAGAGGCAAGAAAAGGAGGGAAGAGGAGAAGGAAGGAAGGAGGATAATCAAAAGGTGGAAGGAAGAAAGGGGGAAGGAACGAGGAAGAAGGGGGAAAGAATGGAACTGCTTGGCACAGGGCGAGCCCTTGAGGATGCTCACTGGGCAGCAATTGTCACCTGCTCAGCTGCTCCCATCTCCAAACACCTGCCTTCTAGCAGGACAGCCTTCACTATACTGTGAGCTGTCTCATCTTTCCTTTGTCATTTCCCCTCAAATGTCACTTTTCCTCAGTGATGCTAATACCTAGACTAGGATCCTGTGCAGAAAGCCCACTAAGTGATTGTTGGATGAAGGATTCTTAAACTCCCAATTTCCATCACCAGATGATGAGATGGACAGAGCCTAGGAGTGAGTCCTCGATCATAACTCAACCTCCCAGGCTGAAGCTCTCCTGGCAAGACTCCTGTCTATCACTATCACAAACAGCCCACCTGGTCATGCTGTTGTTCTAGTGTCTTCTAGAAACATTAGCATCTGTCCCCATTGTGAAGACTTATCCTCTTGGCCTAAGGACTTCTCATTTGTTCTTTAATATGCACATTGCATGTGCTACCAGTTTTCCATGTCTAATTTCTTCAACTTGTTCACAAAAGGAGAGTCCCTGTATCCTCTTCCACAACCAGAGGCAGAGTCTGAGAAAAGATTTGTGTTCAAAGCATAACATGGTGTGTGTGTGTGTGTGTGTGTGTGTGTGTGTGTAGAGATTTGTGGAGTTTGTTTTTTAACGTGTGTGTGAGTAGTGTGTATGATTGCGTGGGCAGGTGCTGTGCACATGTGTTTGTGGAGGTTCCGAAATTGATGTCACAAGCATCCTCCTCAATAACTCTCCCCCTTATACACTGAGGTGGAGTCTGTCACTTAAATCAACAGCTGGCTGACTGGGTTAGTTACACAGTCACCTTGCTCTGGACATGCTATGTCTGCCCCTTGAGTGCAGGGATGACAGGTGAGCCGGTACTCCAGCGCTGGTCCTCAAGTTTGCATGGCAAGAGGCAAGATCTCTACTTAACCAGTCTTATCTCTAGCTCCCAAATGGAAATTTTGTTTGTTTAAAAGAAAAAGGGAACGAGAGCAAACGTGGGTCTTTAGAATTTATGACAACGCTTGTGCTCTTTTCAGCATTACCTTAGACTAAAGCAAACAAGCTTTGCCTAATCTTGACTTCTTAAAATGTAGAATGAAATATACCAACATTAGAGGGCTGCTGTGTGACTAACAAGAGAATTCATTCAGAAGGACAAAGGTAGGCAGAATAGCCAATCAATACTTCCTAACTATAGTGTATCTCATATTCATGTATACACGCACCACTCACACACACACACACACACACACACACACACACACACACACACACAGAGTAAACTTTGTTTTATTCATTAAGATCAAAAGTAACATGTGGATTATATAAAATAAAACAGAAAAGTCTAAGTAAAATAAAAATTTAATACCAGTATAAATATATGTTAGAATAAGAGGCTGCGACTGGGAAAGTTTTTAAATCTGGGTTCCCTGGGAGCCATAGTCAAATTGGAAATAGTGTCAGCCACATTTTAATTTTATTCTACTTTAGTTAATTATTTTTTTTTAAGACAGAGTTTTGCTATGAAGCCCTGGCTGGCCAGGCCTGGAACTCACTGCATAGACTAGGCTTTTTCCAACTTAAGAGACCAGCCTACCTCCAGCCATGTCAGCCACATCATTGTGATGGCCCTTGGTGAGAAACATATGTCTCTCAGATTAAATAGCTTCCTGTTTCTGTCATCTAAATATCAGTTAGGATTGTGTTTGACTGGCAAAAATGCTGACTACAGGAATGGAGATGTAGCTTGCGCTATATATTAGCATGTGCAAAGTCCTGGGTTTGGGCTTTGGTCATCAGCATGGTGAAGGGCAGGATTGATAGTGTCTCAACCAGACACAGATTTGTGTTTCTTCTTAAATAGTAGAAAGGTGCAGAAGCAATCAAACTACAGGTGGGACTCTGTTTAGGAGAGTTTTCAGAGCCCTGGGTTCTTTCCAGTTTTGTGTTTAGCCATCTTCATTGATGAACTAGTCCTCCCCATAAAGTAGTGAGTCTGCATTCCAAGCAGGAAAATAAGAAGATCAAGGGACAATAGATCAAGAGAAGACAAAAGGTATCTGTCTTCTCAGGCTACCCCCTTTATCTGGAAAACAATACTTTCCCCAGAAGCCTTGCAGGCTCATGGGTTCACATAGCCAATATAGCTGCAAGGGAGTATAGGAAGTTCATTTATTTAACACAACTACATTGACATTCCAAGTGAAGTCAAGTTATTGAAGATAAACTGAGAATCCACATATCGTGAATCAACATTTCATATACTCTTCCAGCCATAAGCCCAGGAGTCAGAAGGAGAGGCACTGTCTGTCCACATCCTTAGCCCGCCCACACCCTTAATTTAACATGGGCCTCTGAAAAAAGTCGTCCTTGCTGTCAGCACCTAAGAGCGTGAAAAGAATAGTCCTGATCACGAAGTTTCTGGAAGTTGGGAAAATTAAAGAAACTGTTGGCTGTGAGTCAGCTGCAGCCCATCTTTGAGGACAGTAATTGTCCCATTAGAGGTGACAGTCATTTTGTAGTTGACCTTGCTGGTTGTAATCTAGTTGTTGCTGGACAGGAAAGGCTTTCTTTTCCTCCTACTTTCCTTTTCCTATTTAATATTTCAGTCATTGAGTGATGGAAGGCAGTGAAAATTTCACAACCAACTAGTTAAAAAGCTGTATTTCATGGTTACACTATCTGACAGAAGGGTTTATTCCACAGCTATCATACTATAGTCATTAAATATATATTTTAAAAGAGTGAAATTAAATGCCAGAGCCATATTTTTTAAATAGTGATTTAGTCCACAGACTTGTAGAATACAAATGAACTCAAGTCAGAACCTGCTGTCTGAGCAGCATCCCCACCAGCCTGGTCTCACGACTCTTCCAAGAAGGCTGCAACTTAGTGGTGTGGAGGGAAGCCAGAGAGAGGATCCACTTGGAGCCTATTTGAACTATTTATATTTATCTTTAGAAGTGATTTTTGAGGAGAGGATAGAGAGGAAGAGATGGGAAATGGAAACAAGAGAGGGACCAGGATGGTTGAGTTGGGGAAAGAATGGAGAGGGAGAGCAACGGAAGAGATATCTTTATAGAGAAGTTATTATGGGGTCAGACAGAAATTTGGTGCCATGGAAACTCCTAGGAACCTACAAGGTTGACACCAACTAAGACTCATAGCAATACTGGAGAGGATACCTGAACTGGCCTATTAGAATCTGATTGGTGAGTGATTACCCTAATTGTCATCATAGAAGCAGATTCAGAGATCCACAGCCAAACACTGGGATGAGCTCTGGGAGTCCAGCTAAAGAGAGGGAGGAGGGATTATATAAGTAAGGGGGTTTGAGATCATGATGGGGAAACCTATGGAGTTCACTGACCTGAGCTAAAGGGAGCTCATAAACTCTGGTTCAATTGCTAGGGAGCTTGCATGGGACCTAGGCTCTCTCATATGGATGACACTTGTGTAGCTTGGTCTGTTTGTGGGGTCCCTAGTAGTAGAACCAGGATCTGTCCCTGGCACATGAGCTGGCTTTTTGGAACCTATTCCCTTTGGTGGGATCTTCATTCAGCCTTGATGCAGGGAGAAGGTTCTTGGTTCTGCCTCAATTTGATATACTAGGCTTTGATGATTCCCATGGGAGGCCTTACCCTTTCAGAGGAGTAGATGGAGGGGTAGAAAGGAGGTTGGGGGAGGGAATGGGAGAAAAGGAGGAAGGAAAAACTGTGGTTGGTATTTGAAATAAATAAAAATATTTAATTAAAAAAGTGACTGTTTAAAAATCAGCAAATAAGGGCACTTACCATGCAATCCTACAACCTAGATTCAATCCCTGGAATCCTGTCAAGGTAGAAGAGAACCAACTTCACAGAGTTCTCAGACTTCTATCTACATACAATGCATCGTGCATACATGTGCACACAGTAATAAAAGTAAATAATTAACGTTGTTTAGTGCCTTAGGAGACAATAGCTCAGCAAGGTGTTTGCCTTGCAAGCATGAAGGCCCAAGTTTATTTTCCTAGAAACAAATGGTTATGGTAGCACCTATTGTAGCCAAGTTCTGGGGAGGTAGAGACAGGCAGATTCCTGAGGCTTACTGCCTAGCTAGCCTATCCTTTCTTTGCATGCCTTGAGTTCCAGTGACAGATTCTGGCTTAAAAAACAAGGTGACAGCTCTTGCTGAATAATACATGAGTTTGATCTCTAGCCACAGCATGAACATGAACACACACAAACAACAATGGTCTGAAAATGCTTTTAAAATGTAATACAGAACTAATTAGAAACATATGTAAGTTGGTTGAGAGCTTTCTATGTATGTGACTAAGGAAAGCAAGGTGTGTACAGTGGACAGCAGTATTAGTCACTTCACATATAACACGAAAGCTTAGTTAATGTTGCTATCTGGGGTGGTGGTACAGGCAGCAAGGAGGGGAGGGCGGGCAACGAAAAGATAAATAAATAAATAGAAAGGTATTCAAAGGCCAGATGGTGGTGGCACACACTTTAAATTCCGGCACTTGGGAGGCAGAGGCAGGTGGATCTCTTTGAGTTCAGGTCATCCTGGTCCGACACAGCGAGTTCCAGGACAGAGCTACATAGAGCTGTCTCGAAAGACTTAAAAAAAAAAAAAAAAAAAAAAAAAGGTATTGTTTAGGGGCAATATCAGTCATATCACACAGTCACATGTGATTTCTAAAATTATGAAACATTTTAATCCTTACATTATCCATATGATACAATGTGTGCAAACGACCCATATGTAAGATTGTATATCCATATCAGGATGTTATACTATTCTTCAAAGCACTAAGGGGAGGGGGCAGTGGTGGAGAATTTGGGAGAATGTCACCCCTGTACTTGTGGTTCTAAGGATTGAACCCATCCTAGGCAAAGCACTCTACTACTGAGGTATATTCCTAGCTTTCTTTTAATTTCTTATTTTGACACAGACTCTCACTGAGTTGCCCAGGCAGGCCTTGAACTTACAATCTTCCTGTCTCAACCTCTTGTGCAGTGGGTCACAGTCTAGTACCACCAGACTTGGCTGTTTCCCTATGTTTTTCCTCTACCAACTTTTATATATATATATATATATATATATATATATATATATATATATATATATAGCCCCATAGGCAGTTTCTTATGTCACAGGAGGGTCTGCATGCATTAAGCCAGTGGGCTTGCCTGGTGGTCTTGGTGTCACAGGCAGACACTGGGACATATTTTGTGGTGGTTCTTTTGTTATACTGTGCTCTTCTAAGTTACCTGTTGTTTGGTGTGCATAGGTTACTTATTCACACCAATGGTGCTGGGTTATACATCTGTGAGGGCCATACTCCAGTGTCAGGAAAGGAGGAAGGTCACAGAGACTGGGAGGTTGAAGAGAATTGGAAACTGTAGACCGGTAAAGACATATTCCATATACTAGGTAGGGAGCCGCTGGCAGGCACCCAGGCACACATTGGTACACACTAGCCACATACATGCAGGTGACACATGAGCCTCCAGACAAAAACACATAGGTAGCTTGGAAAAGGTAAAGACTCAAGCCTTTGACATCAAAGCCAGGTTTACACAGAACCCCCACAAAAAGCCCTCTGCCAGGTATAGTCATATGACATATCACTTAACCACTCACTTTTGGGGTTCCCAGAACATCTAGTATCACTCATTTTGTGCTGACTCACAGTTCTTCAATGTCCTGTGTCAGCACTATGTTATCTAAGCACAAAACTGACCTTTATGGCCCTCTGTTCTCAACAATACCTCCTTCTGTTTCTTTCTTCTGTCCACTCTGCTAAGTTCTATGTGTCTTCTAGCTTCTTTACAGATGGACAGAATGCCTACAATATTGATTGAATTCATAACACAATCTCCCAGCCTACGTACTTAGCACACTCTTGCACAGATGCCAATCAAAAGCCACCTGAACATACAGTTGTATCCTAACTTGGAGGAATGGAGACATAATTACAGTTAGCCAACATCTTTATACTTCAAAAGGGAAGAGAGTGGCTGGGGAGATGGCTTAGTTGGTAAAACACTCAACTTGAAAGTGTAAGGACATGAGTTTGGTCCCCGGAACCCACATACAAAGCTGGGAATGTTGACACATGGCTGCAATCCCAGTGACAGATGAAAACAGACAGGAGATCTGCACGTTGACCAAGCTAGTCTAGCATGCTTGGCAACCTCTAGGGCTAAAAGTAGACCCAGTTCTGAGAACATGGGCTGGACACTAGACTCCAAGTACCAGGGCTCCCAGGCCAGAGGAGTTCTGCCATCTCCCAGTACCTCCATTCACACTTTCCCAAATGTGGAGACATTTCCAGGTTCCCAGAGACTTTGACTAGGAAGAGCCTCCTGTGGCTTGAAATGTTTGTTTGGAAGGAACACTTCAAAGTTACATGGGTTTTTACCATCCCCCCAGCCCTCCAGAAGTGCCCAAACTGTGTTTTAATCATTTTTGCAGAGGAAGCCGCACTTGGCACACAGATTCAGCGTGTCTGGTTCTAATCAAGCCACATGTTGTGTTTCCAGTTCCCTCACATTGGACTTGTGCAGAAGACGCCGGAATCCATCACAAGCACTACCCTGAAGGAAATCCACTGCCCATACTTGTCTCAGCAGGTGGAGAGGAAGCTGCCGCCAATATACAAAATCCGAGAGAAAGTAAGATGAGCTTGGGTCCCAGATACAGGATCCCGGGGCTTTTCTGAGGAGGTGCAATTTTGGTCAGACCATGAACTCATTTACCCATTTGCCGTGGTTCCCTGTGATAGACCCAAGTGCTCTGCAGCTAGAGCTGCCTGCTGGTCCGGACAATGAGCTGGGGTTCTCCACAGGCACCTTTAGTTATTAACAGTCGTGGTCTGCCTCCCTGGTTAGGTCATGAGCAACTATGAAGACCTCAGTGGTGTAAAGCAGGAAGCAGAACGGTTTTAACATCAACATCAACTGCACTCCCCGTGAGCCTCACTCAACTCAGGCGCCAGGCTTCTGGGAACCCAGCCTCGGGGCTTCTAGGATCTGGTCAGGTTTCCAGGATTTGGTTTCTGCCATCCTTATTAGTCATATAAGAGGTTGGCTCCCAAGCTGTCAAAAGTCCTTGCCAGCATTTGGTTCTTTGCATCTATGCACTTTTTGCCTCCTTACCTCCAAAGACATTTTGAGAGAGAAATTTTCCGATTTCAGAGATTTGTTAGTAGGGTTGAGTTGGGAAGCCCCATGCCTGCCCATATCCCTCCTCCTGTGCTGTTCGCTCCATGCTGGTGTTGGACTTCATTAGCTTTACTGAGAGGTTCCTTTGTCCCACCCCACTTCCTCCCCCTTCACTGTGCCCCAGTCTGAGGGCATTCCACAGTTCTGACATGTACCTTTTTTCATCTCTCTCCTGTTCCTCTCCAGCAAGCAGCAAACAAATGCTTCCCCTTCTCTGTGCATGACAATCGCCACAGTTTTGAGAACTCTGGATACTATTTTGACTCTGTGAGTACTTCTTTGCAAACTAGTAGGGCCTCATGTACAGCTCAGTGGTGAGAGAGAACTCTTGCCTACCATGAGGGAGGCCTAGGGCCTCATCACTAGCACAGCAAGCAGGCAACTGGTAGAATGGGGAGCAGTGATCAGTCTCTTGATTTCCAAGGTGCACAGGTTACAGAGAGACAGGTGTTCTTTAAAAGTGAAACAAAGCCCAAAATGGCTCAGGATCTGCATTGAGATGCCTGAAAGGTCATGAAACAAAAGCCCTCTCTTGAAGCTCTCAGAGTTGGGTGGAGTTTTCCAAGTCTGCACAAGGCTTCTGCCTCGGTTCAAGCACAAGCAGGCTATGCTTACAAAGTGTCCTTCCTTGGAATTCCTCGAGTTATCCTAGGGGTGGCACGGCCCCTGCCACTGGAGAGCTTAAGGTCTTGTTAGCAGTTTAACATAGTACTGGGTAGAGAAATATAACACAAGCTGCGAGTGTAGTTTTCAAAGTTCTAGTAGCAACAGGAAAATTTAAAAGCCAGGTAAAATTAATAAGACAGATGGTCTACTTAAAAACTTTCAACCTTATGATACTGTGGAAATAACAGATTTGGTAAAAATGCAGACTTAGAATTCTGCCTTTTTCTTGGGCTATTGCCAGGTATGAAGTATTTTGTATCTGTGTTTCTTGTGAGGCTCTGTCATTGGCATTGGGGTCACAGCTCCCAGCTAGCCACACAAGAAACCACTAGACAAATTTAGTGCTCTACAGTATAGTATGTTACCAAGCTAGGCCAGGTGAGACAGATGCATCTTGTTTTTTTTTTTTTTTAAATTTTTCTTATTGTTTAGGAATTTCATACATGTACATGATATGTTTTGATTTAATCTACCTCCACCCCTCCCCTCCAATTCCTCTCCTATCTCTGTGGCCACTTTTATTCTCTCAATTTCATGTGTTCTGTTTTAAACCCACAAAGGCCACACCCAGATGAGCGTTCAACTTAGAGTATTTCCAGCTTCCACTGGGTTTATTGGGCCATAAGTTCAAAGGCATTTACATACTTTATTTAACCCAGTATTTTCCCCGGATTATCAATTCAGCATGTAATAGAGCAATCCACATAAAATTATACAAATTGTTAAGCTTTAAAGCAACTGATTTTTTTTTTTTTTTTTTTTTTTACATTTACTGTGTGTGGGTGTGAGCATGTGTGGGTGTGGGTGGAGGTCCGAAGACAACTTGCAGGAGTTGGTTCCCACGCTCTGGGGATGGAGCTCAGGTCTTCAGGCTCAATGTCAATAATCCTTCCCAGTTAAGGCACCTCATTGGCTCCATAAAAATTATGGCCAGTTACTTTATAGTTCCCTTTTCAAACTAAGTCCTTAAAAATCTGATTTACATGTTACTCATCTCAATTTAAACTGCCCACATTTAAGCACTCAACCACTAGTAGTCAGTGGCTGCTGCGCCGCACACCACAGGTTAGCGTATCTTAGGCAGAAGCATGTGTTGGGTGAGCTTCCGGAAAACTTACCAAAATTGACAAGCCCCATGACAAAGGTGGCGTTAGCAACACCCTCTGTTTATTAAGGCTGTAAGACACACCAGTGTTTCATATTATTTTGTTTAAGCCCAGTGGCACTCCTGTGGGCTAATTACTCTTATTGTTGATTTAGAAATGAGCAAACTGAGAAACACTGAGATGAAACATCATACCCAGAGAAACCTTTCCCTCCACACAACCATCTTCCAAGTGAGCATGAATAGCTTAACATAAACACTCGCTTTCCTTTGTCAGTGCATCCAATACAGAGTCAGAATTTCTACCCTGCCTTCTTCACATGGAGTGCTTAATGCTTTCTTTATAATAAAATGTTTATTTTCATTTTACTCTATGTGTATACATGTTTTGTCTGCATGAATGTCTGGGCACCGTATCACCATATGTGTACCCGGTGCCCATGGATGTCGGGAGAAGGAGTCAGATCCCCTGGAACTGGAGTTATGAATAGTTGTGAGACACCATGTGGATGCTGGGAATCAAACCCAGGTCTCCTGCAAGAGCAACAATGCTCTTCAACGCTGAGCCATCTCTCCAGCCTCACTTAATGTGCTTTCTGAATTGCCCCAATGACACACACTTGTCATAAAAGTCAAATAAGTGATGGTGAGATGACTCATTGGATGCTTGTCGCCAACCCGAAGAGACTGCGGAAAAAAGAGAACACACTTGCACAAGTTGTCCTCTGACCTACATACACACAATGAATATTTTTTTTAAAAAAAGTCCACCCAGATTTATATAAAATTCCAAATAAAATTTGCATCCTTGTTTCCCTTTTCAACACCTTAGCCTGCAATTAACTCCTGGTCAGGGGCAAGTGGACAGATCCACAGAAGTGAATATCTTGTTCATTAATGACACAAGTAGGCTTCGACCCGTGCATCTTATCAGGGTGATGAGAGCCTCCAGGAAGGTTCTAGAGGTGTCCCAGCTTTTTGTGTTCTAGATATCCTTGGCAGGCCAGCACCAGTAGCTCACTGTAGTTGTCTGTCTACTGCACAGGAAGTACTGCCTAAATAATTTGGTTCACAAATCACTTTTTAGAACAAGTTTCTTTTGTTTTTTTAATTTTACCTTGACTACAAGTCTGTCTATTTAAACTTCCTGCTTTCTATTGCATAGAGTTTAATGATGTGTTTTGCTTAAAATTTATCTCATCCATTTCAAATTTAATGGTATACTGTCAATCAAAGCATTGCACTTTTCTATTCTTTAAAATGTTCTTCAGTTGACAGTAGAATTCAAATACTTGCCATTTCTGCTAATGAAATTATTAAAACTATGAATATTCTCTAGTTCTGGCTATACCAGGAAGATACTATTATTGAGACCTATCTAATAATTCTAATATTTTTCCATTACCTGAACAGAGCTAAAGCTTTCTGGAAGGGTTGTTTTTTTTGTTTTTGTTTTTGTTTTTTTTTTCTTGAAGAAATGTGCAGGCAATCATTTTTTACTTCCAGAGGGTAGTACCTTGTTGATACACTTCTTAAACATTTATACTTAAAGGTAACTATTAGGAAAATATCAGAAGTCAGAAAGACCAAATAAATGAACAAATAACATTTAGGCAAACACATCATTAAAATCTCTGTTAATCAGACTTAATTTGTGTGATTAGTATCTGCCTCCAAATAATCTTTATTTAATTTTTAAATTCTCCTTTAACAGAGTCATTTGGAAGATTCCTTGAATTTCTGATGTAGCTAGAATTGGTTAGTTTACCTATTTGTTGCTAATATCTGATTTTGGTGTTACATTAAGTTTTATGGAGGACACTCTGACTTTGCCTATTTGATTAGTAGAGATTATTTTTGCATGTGATTAATTTTAAAGTGTCTCATTAGTGGGTAAAAAGATTATATAGTCCCTCATCTAATGACAAAATTATTGGCTGAGGACTGTTAATTATGTTATAAAGTATATCTTACTCTTTGTCTTGGCCTGTCAATTTCTGCTTCTAAGAGTTGCTTTTACATTTCAACACTTTGATTTTTCTTTAAATAGTTTGGTATCATGTCTTGTTGCATAAAAGTTAATGATTGTTTTATTTTTATCTTGATGGCTTTGCCATCTAGCACTGTGGGTATCTGTTGTGGGATATTTGTACACTGTGTAAAGATGTATTGTTGTGATTGGTGTAATAAAAAGCTGAACAGCCAATAGCTAGGCAGAGGTATAGGTGGGTCTTCTGGGGAGATAAAGGAAGAGGATGAGGAGGAATCTAGGCAAGTAGGAGATGCCAGGAGACACAGAGAGAAAACTGGAGGTACAAGATGGAAGAGAGGTAATGCCATGTGATAGAACATAGATTAATAAAAATGGGGTAATTTAAGCAATAAGAGCTGGCTAGGAGTAAGTCTAAACTATAGGCCAAGTTTTCATAACGAGTAACAAGTCTCCATGCCATCATTTAGGAGCTGGCTGGAGGGACAGAAAAAGTCTTGTTACAAGTATCTCTCAGACTACATATTTCTTTTCGCCATGGATCCTTCCTTGCATGTGTTGTACTACAAAGTGCAGTTCCTTCATCTTTTTACAAAATACTTTTGCTAATTCTTTGAGCATTTCGCACACACATATGGTGTATATTCACTCCACTCTTTCCCATAACCCCTCCCAGATCTACCTCCCAGCTCCCCACCTTTTCCCAACTTCATGTCCTTTTTTTTTTTTTAAATAACCCACCAAGGCCTGTATACTCATGGCTATAGGAGCCTCCACTGAAGCCTTTTACCTACCATGGCCATACTTCTAAAGAAAACAGACCCTCTCTCTTCCAGAAGCCATTAACTCTTTGTAACTCACCCACTTGGCGTGGGGGCTACTGAGTCCCTGCCTACTCCATGCTGGACTATTGACTAACTGGATTTTGTCCAGGTCTTATGCAGGCAACCACAACAGCTGTGAGTTCATAAGTCTGATGGGAGATGTCATTCTGTAAATATGTTTCTCATACTGGTTAATGAATAAAGCACTCAGGTTCAGGGCACAATGTTTCACCTTGGTCCTCCCTGACCTCTGGCTCTTAAAATCTTTCTGCTCTCTCTTCTACAACTGTCCTGGAGTCTTGGTGTCTTTATGAACTTGAGTCATTTTGCTTTGAGCTTGTCTTACACTATAAATGAAGTGCAGCCTAATCAAAAAGAAAAACAATACCCAAGAGTCACTGTTTCCCCATATAATAATTTAAGCCACTCACATTATTTGACAGTTACATGTTTTGCACCTGTCACTCACTTTCTATCTCTTAGCTATCATATTCTCTCTTTGTTCTCTCTTCCCACAAGGCTCTACCAGTTGAGTTTATTTGCTTACTTTGACTTATGAATTTTTACTAATAGTTATCTTCAAATACAAATGTTTAAAATGTGTCCTAACAAGGCACTACTCTCTGGATGCAAAATGAACACCTGCAGTCTTCCTTCAGGTCAAAGAGGCCCCTCTGAGAGCCTTATCTTTGTTCTTTCCTCTCTGGGGCTGGTGGGGTGGAGGCCTTGGCTGGTTCCTCTCAGTCTCCAGCTGAGCCCTGAAGGGGTTTCCATCTGCAGCTCAGCCACTGGTCCTGATGCTTCAGTCTGACTAAAACCCTACAACTTTGCTCCTGTCTGCCCTCTCACCTGTCTCCCTCCCTCCCCTCCTCTTCCTTTTCTGAGCACTTCCTGCTCTCCCCATCTTGTTCCTTCCTCTTAATTTTCTAATATATTTCACGGCCACATGTTCAGTAAGTATTTTGATTTGCATTGCCAGCCGCTTTCCTTGAAGCTCTTCCCTATGCTGTTTTTCCCTCTATCCTCAGATAACTTCCCCAAAAGATGTAATGTGCCCAGCATCTTCTCTTTGATCCCAGAGCTTCTCTCCCCATTTTCTGCCCTGCCCTAACCTCACAGGCTGGTCTGTACAGACTGTATCAGGAGCCATTGCACTGCTGCTGGTTATTTCCCCACACTCTACATACAGTATGTAAATGCAGTTATCCTGGGTATCTGGAGGGATTGGTTCTGGAATCCTCTGTTGATACCAAAATCAGCAGATGCTTGTCTCTTATAGACAATGGCATAACATTCTCACATTACCCGTGCTACCCATGCATATCCTCTAGACTACTTATCATGTATTGTAAATGCTGTGCAAATAGTTTTAATATTGTTTAGGGAATTATGATAAAGAAAAGGCCTATGATGTTCAGTTCAGATGTGATTAAAGTATTTTTTGGTATATATACACACACACACACACACACACACACACACACACTTTCCGTTTGAGTTACATGGATCTGAGGTTGGTTGAAGTAGGGAGGCAGGTGCCACCTGTGTTACTTTGTAGACTTCTCTTACATTCTGATTCAAGCATCCTGTCAGGCCTTTTGCCATTTCACTGAGCAGTAAGCCTCATTATATTGGTGCCGAGTCTGTATAACCTGATGTCTCTACCTCTTTTTCCATTTTCTTTCTTCATTTTCACCCCATTGTGATGAATCAAATGTTTGATTTTGAATGCATGATGATTCTCAGGTTCACAAGTAAAGTGCTAACTGTTGACAAACAAGCATGTGAGCAGAGGCCAGAGATCTTGCTCCTGTTGGGAGATGCCATAGCATAGGAAAAAAAGAAAGTCAATCTGCCAGCTCCTCGGAGGCAGCCAGGAGGGTGCTTCCCTGGGAAGTGATGGTGCTTAACAGGATATATATGGCTGAGGACCCTCTGATTTTACCTTCCTTGTGTTTAAAAGTCTGGTCCCCTTTGTGGCAAAGGAACACTGAGAACAGCAAAAAAGGCACGGCCAGGAGGTTGTTGACTTTTGATATCCAACAGGTTGACTTTTATAATGGTTGTCTTATGTATGCATTTAAGCATATGTGTGTCATTTGATGGTTTCATTAACATCATCAGAACTGTGTGATCTTGTGCATCCCCCCTCTAATTTTGTTCTTTCTCCCTAGGGCCTAGGACGCAAGAAGATCTCCCCAGAAAAAAGGCAACACCTTTCTAGAAATTTCAATCTCTGGGCCTGTGACTTCATCCCATCCCATTTCGATGGCCTTTCAAATAACCAGACGTCATATGTACATAAGGAAGCTGTGGTAATCTCAACTTTCCGACGCTTCCCTAGATGTTATGATGAAAAATGGAGTGCCTTCAAGTTTATTCCCAAACAAAGTTTTGCAGAGTTTTTGAGAAACCAACCAAATAAGGAGGTTTCTTATGACACAAAGGCTGTCTCTCCACAGGAGCCCTAATCCTTCCAGAAGATTCTCGATGAGGTTTGTGATGTCATCTCACCAGGAATTCATAAAGTACGTCTCTGAATCAACACTTTTGTGATTTTCATAAGATTGAAGATAATCAAATCCTTACCAAGCTGTGTGAGGCTACATGCACCTGTAAATAAACTGCTAAGATTGTCACGTTTACATTTGGGGGAGTTAAAAAATTATGTAACTCATACATGATTAAATTTTCATTCTGAAATTCCAAACAATGCAGAGGAGGCAAAAGTCCCCCTGATTCTGTTTCAAATCCAACCCTTGTTCTGTCACTACTTGTTTGAATTCTATGCATTTACATTCAGATATTTGCACACAGATCCATGAAAGTTTGAGGGGATGCTGTCTCACCACATGTAATATTTCATAGCTTAATTTTGCTATCTGGCTATGTACCTTGGTTTTCTTGCAACATCATATATAGCTTTTTTTTTTTTTAAAAGAACTAGCTGATGGGCTAGAGATATGGCTTAATGGTTAAGAGTATGTACTATTCTGTAAGGAGTAAAGTTTTTCCACCCGCCTCCCCATCTTGTCCCGCTGCTGCACCAGCCCCAATTAACACACCGAGACTCTGTATTTGATATAATTCTGTTGGCCCGTTACTAGTTTCTTATCGGCTAGCTCTTTCTTAATTATTAATCTATTTCTATGTATTTCCATGTGGTTTCACCTACTGGGGAGTGGGGCAGGTGTCTGGTCTCTCCGGTCTCTCCATCTTGATCCCTTTTTACTACTTCTTCTCTCCTCCTCATCTCCTAGTCCTGCCTATCTTGCTTTCCTATTGGCCAACAGTGCTTTATTCATTAAACCAATATGAGAAACATATTTACAGAATCGCATCTCCCATCACTATTCTTGCAAAGGAATCCCAGCACTTACACTGGGCAACTGAACTCTAGCTCCAGGGCAATTTTGTGAACTCTGACCTCCACAGGCACTTGCATACTCACACACTACCACCCTACACACATAAAAATATTAAAATGAATCTTTAAAAAGTTCTTTTTAGAAAGAATGAACTATATTTCATCTTTAAGTGTGGATGTGCACTATGCTTTTAGAAATGATTTTCTTTTTAGTAGGCAATTGGACTGTTAATAACTTTTGGAGTCCTTCTGCAGCAACCCTAGTTGCTCTGTTGATGTTAGATCAGCCTCTTTGGGTGCATGCTTGTGTGTACTGCAGGTCAGATAATGAAAGCTTAACTAATTTGTGTGGGATTGGATGGGATACACAACTCAACTTCATGATCAAATTGTCTTGGAAAGACTGGGACCCATTAATCCTCTGCCAATTTGTATCTGTGAGTTTGCATTTTTCTCCCCTCCATTATCTTTTGGGTATTTATATATTAAATAATGATTTTGCTTCTATTTTCCCTTTTCTTCTTTGCATGTGTTATGGGTGTGTTCATGTTTATTGAAATGTGTGTGAGCAGTTTTTTTTTTTTTGTGTGTGTGTGTGTGTTAGAGATCAGTACTCCAAAGTATTTTATTATCTGAACATTGATCAGTATTGGGTCTCTGTATTAACCAAAAAAGAAGTTTCTCCAATGAGGGTTGAGAGATGTATTAATCTATATAGATAAAAAACTTAGGGGAAAGTTTATTACTATATCTATTTAGTAGAATAGTAGTAAAAGATTCTTCTATAGGGTCTGTGACCTAGTGAGTCATGGGGTTTTGTCCCAGTTAACAGTACCAGGCATGAATTCCATCTTATGGAGTGGACTTTAAATCCAGTCATGACGTGGCTGGTTGGTTACTTCCATAACAATTGGTGCCACTATGGCACCATCAAACATATCTTGCCAGGCCACTCATGATTGTGGCTTGAAGGGATCACAGCTGGGTAAGACTGATGATTACTTTCCTCCTTCAGTAGTATCCACAGCATCTTCAGCACTATAAAAGCTAGCTGGCAGGGATAAAGCTTCCAGGTGGATACCAGCTTGATTTTTCTGACCTATGACTCTATTAAGAGGCATCCTTAGCAATAAGGTCTGACTTTCAAGTTCTGGACAAAACTAAGAGCAATGGCAATATCCTGAGATGTTTGCTGGGGGGGGGGGTTTCCTATGGTACCACACTGATCAACATCTCAAAATGCCCACCTAATACTGGGCTTCATATTTGACAGCCTATGGTGTTCAGGAGAAGGATCGCTCCCTGTTATAGTGTAACTCCATTTAAACTCCGTGTGTGTGTGTGTGTGTGTGTGTGTGTGTGTGTGTGTGTGTGTGTATGATGTAAGAGAATTGTACAGTAACAGGTTTCCATATGGCATTTTCAAAGGCCTTTAGTGTTAGTTGTCTCTCCATACATTCCATCCTGTATCCTGTCTTTCCTACCCCATCCCACTTAGTCATACTCTGCTATCCCCCATTCTGCCTTCATACTACATGTGATCTATTTCATCTTCCTTGAAATTTCCCCATAGACCCATAGCAACCACATACAAGAGACAACATGCCACATTTGTCTTTCTGGATCTGGATTTGGGTGGTAATTTTTAATATTTTTTTAAGTTGCACTTTTAGATTAGCTATGACTAGGAAGAAGTTAATGATTTCCATATATAAATCTTGTATTTGTTCCCCCAGTTGGACTTTTAATAAAGTAATCTAAAGAAATTATTAAGTTCTAGTAGTTTTCCATTTGCTTCTCCCTTCTTTTTCTGTGTAAACAATTTCATCTTTTATGAAAGCAGTAACTTGGTATCATTATTTGACACATTCTTTGGGTAGGTCTAGATACACTTTTAACATTAGCATTGATAATACTTTAATTTATTTCTAAGTTTGTAGTGGCTGCTTCTAATATGGAATCCAGAATCCCAACTTCTATAATGGGCTTTATATAATTACATTTTATATTTATCTAATTGAGCATAATCTCTAAGAGTCTTAATTAGGTTTATTTCTTCTAAAGCTTTTTTGAGTACATGCATGTTGAAATTTTTATTATTTTCTAATTTCTTATTTTTAAGAATAAATAGTGACAACAATAATGATGTTCCTCAGGTTCTGACTGTAGTCCTTATTTTCTTTCCCCATGCCTGGCTCTATACTGGATTTGTTTCCTTCCTCCGGTAGCATATACACAGATTCTCTCACACATTATTTCTTAATCAACACCGCTTTCTCTCAACAACACCATAATAGTCACCACCCACTCTTGTTTCTATCCTATAAAATACACTTACAATTCGAAGTCATTTATTAGTATTTACAATTTACTCTTTATTTGTGTGTATATGTGTGTGTGTAGCACCAGAAGTTGATGCCAGGGGTCTCCCTTGATCCCAAATAAACACACAGGGGCTTATATTAATTATAAACTGTTTGACCAATGGCTTAGGCTTCTCACTGACTAGCTCTCTCTTAATTATTAATCCATAACTATTAAGCTATGTATTTCTACATGGCCTTATCTTATGGGAGAATGCTCTGCATGCTAGCTTCCCATTAGCTACATGGCGTCTCTCTGGTGGCTTCTCTCTGCCTTTCTCTTCCCAGAATTCTTCTAGTCTGGTAGCCCCACCTATACTTCCAACCTGGCTACTGGCCAATCAGCATTTATTCATCAACCAATAAGAGAAACATTTACTCACAGCATACAGGACATCCCCCATCAGACCTTGATTCATTTTAGTGCTTAATGGAGAGAATGATGGGCACCAGACATGGCAGAGGACTGCTGTAAGTAACCCCACCAAATGCTGTTACTTCAACCTCTCCCCAAATTTAATACATCCATGCCAGCACCAGAGAAGCCCAAGTGCACACATTTGCAGCAGACCTGACCTGGGCTCTTTCTGTCTTCTTTGCCTTAGAAACCCAGACACTCTTGTCATGGAAGTAATCTAAACATGAATATGATGGGAAACAAACACAAACAATGAGATCAAGTTCCAGCAGCTTCTTGTCCAAGGCCAGCTCTCAGTCTGTTGGAACTGGAGACCATTGTGTGTCAGAGGGGTGTTAGATATGCCATCATCAGATCCCAGAGACATTCTCCTTGAAGTCAACAGGCTTGAAAAGAAGAGAAAAATAAGGAACTTTGCTAATGTGTGGGTCAGTGTAACTGAATGCTGCACTGGGTGGCCACCTGCATGCTGTCTCCCACACTGTAGGGATGCAGGCTAAGGATATTTCATGTTTACAGGATACAATCTTACAAATGGGCTCAAAGACCCCGTTTTATGCATCATAATCCAGTACTGTGGTAGTAGCCTCCCGTTTCTTTACTGAGGGTACCATGCAGGCATGCTCTCTTGTTCCTAATTTCAAGAGGGCTGTCTGGTTTTGTTGGAGCTCATTGAATAGGACACGGTGGTGACAGTAGAGCTTCTTTTGAAGTCTAGTCCTGCTTCTTGGACTGCTCATCTGATGTAGATACAGGCATTGGATGTTTGAAATTCTTGGGCTTGCACCGCACTTAACTCCCAAGTTCATATCCAACACCCACACCCATATATGTGCACATGTACACACACACACACACACACACACACACACACACCTAAAATGAACCAAATCTGCAATTACATAGCGATTAATGAATGAGAGGTATGTTTATCATCACGGAGACACTCCTGAAAACTAGTCTTTCTTCACTTAATTGTCTCCTGTGTAAAACAAAAAACATCATCTAATTACCCACAATTCTTTATGCAGTGAACCAAGAACAAGGGGCTACTTGACTTTAATGGAGGGAGGAGCTGAGAATTCCAAACACAGTTCACTTTATGCAAATAAAAATCTTCCATAAATTGTCACCATGCTACTTACCTGTTGTAGCTGGCTCTTGGTTTTAGGGAGTCGTTTTGAGTGGGGGAGTGAACAAGTCAGTTACAGAAACCCCAACATACCAGTCAATTACATGCAGGTGTTCTTACATCTTAATGAATTAGCCTTGGACTTGTGCCATGCCAGAAGTCACTTAGGCACTAAGAGAGCAACTGATGGCTCAGCAATCCCA